GGCGACACGCATGCCCACCTGGTAGGACGGGGGCGGAGGATGTGGGGGGCGGAGGATGTGGTTGGCGCGGACCAAAGCTAGCGGAAAACATGCGCGCGGGTGCGATCGGGTACCTCAGCCATTGAGAGCGCAATCCGACTGCCGTTGGCAAGGAGGAGGCGCGAGTCCCCGAAGAAGCACGCGGGGTCCTCGGCTACGTCCCCTCCCGAGCCGCCGCTCGCGGGCCGCGCGCCGCAATCATCGCAATCAGTTCCGGGATCGCACACCGCTTGATAGCCGTCAACCCCGTCGGAGCACATCCCGTTGGAGGCGAAGATCGAGGCAAGGCCCCTGTCTTCCCCGTCTTTCGTGCAGGTGTTCTCGCAGATCATGCGCGCCATAGACTGCGGCGCGTCATCCCAGTCCTCGCTGACGTAGCTGCGAGCCGAGTACTCGAGCGGAGCATGCGGCGGTGTGATGCCGTAGAGGCCCTCCAAGAGCTGGTCGGCGAGCACGATGGCGCCCTCCGCCCACGACGGTACGGGTGAGAAGGCCTCATTCACCAGGTGGATGTTCTGGTCGACGAGGAAGCTCTCGAGCACCGGGAGCTGGTTGGCGTCTGTCCAGTAGTGCCAGCCCGCATTGGCCCACGGCGATGCCATGTTCCAAGTCGCCAACACACCCTCGGTGGGTGCCGCAATTTGAGACGGGTCGAGGTTGTGGTACTCGCACACCTTTGCGTGCACGTCCGCCAGGGCCACAGCGCCGTCGGTCAACTCGCTCATGTAGGTCACAACCTCGCTTCGCTCCTTCTGGAAGCGGCCGAAGTAGCTCTGCCTGTTGCCGTGAAGGAGGGAGTGGCCGCGCTCGCGCGCCTGGAACTCCGGGATGGATGCGTCCGTCCTGACGTTTGGATACGTCATCGGCATCATCGGGAAGGTAATGGACGGCAGCGTCTCGGCCTCAGTGAGGCGGAGCATGTCCGCAGAGTGGGTCGGCGAGCCGCCGCGGACGACTTGGAGGGCGGTTTTGACAGAGGCAATTTGGTCGCAGGTGTTGGTGATGCGGTCGTACGTGTAGTAATCATCCCTATCGCAGGTGTTGGTGATATCATCGGCGTGGTAGACGGGACTGAAGAGCTCCGAGGGGGGCTGCAGGGAGAGCGCTCACCAGCCGCAAGGCTCGAGCGAGTCCTCGCTCACGCAGCCGGTGTAGCCGGGGGCCGAGGGGTTGTCGGCCAGGTAGGAGTAGAAGATCTCTTCCGTCGGGCAATCGTTGTAGATGCCCACCTTTGCCTCGTAGGAAATGATGGTCTCGACATCTGGGCAAAGCTCTGGCGTCTCGGTGATCTGGGTCTCGCCAGGGAGGTCGCAGCAGTCGTACTCTTTGTACGCACTCTTGACGGCCGAACAGTTTGTGCCGATCGGGCTCTTGACGATCGGGCTGACGGCGAACGAGCCGCGCACGGCGAGAGAGAGCATGACGGCAAACGCGCGCGCGATCATAGAGGCAGGCGGTACCTGCAGGTATGCGAGAGAGGGGGGTACTACAGCCGCGAGGAGAAGCGGCGCTTCACTCGCGCGGTGACGCTTCACGCTCGCGTGGTGGCGCTTGACGCGGGGTTCGGCGGGGTTGGGCTGCGAGGCGTCCGCCGTCAGCAGATCGGCTCGGAGCGAGGCGCGTTTGCGACATCGCTGGCGGCAGAGGGAGGCGCACCAGAGTCCAGACCAGCTTGGGGGGCAAGGGGTGGGGGGGGACAAGGGGGAATGGACCGTTGGGCGTGGTTCTTTCCTGTGAATTCTTTCTCTGCGTGACCGCCCCTACTTCGTCATAGTGCCACGACGTGCGGCCTAGATTTAGCCCACGCGCCTCAACTTGCATACGCTCATACATTGGACTGTCATCGCCTGTGAGTGCGAGAAGGGCTAGCCGTAGGCGGCTAGCCTCTGAGGAGGGCGTCCATAGACACCTCACTAGACCCCACATACGGTCTCGTCCGTGCCTCGCAGGCCGGTGAGATTGCTAGAGGTGGAGCAAACTGCTCTAGCCTCACATATCACTTCCTGTCGTCTGTTGTTTGAGTTGTGCCCTTGTTTGTGCCCTTGGCACCGTGGAGTGCTGGGGGGGGCGACAGGGAGGATGTGGCCCTGAGTTATGTGTACGCCGACTCAGGGTGTGTGGCAGCCAGCTGGCTGTGTGTCTTGTGAGCTTGTTTGTGTCTGTGTGTCGCTCGTGCGTGTCGTCATCATCTGTCTAGCGTCCACCCATACCGCGTTGGTGTCCAGTCCGAGCCTGGCTGTTCTTCACCTTACTACCTATGTATGTTGGTAGGGAGGTGATGAGGAGTCAGTTAGCGCGGCGGGCGGTTAGACGTTACGGGAGGCTTCGGAGGTTGCAGCGGAGCGTGTCTCATTGCGTCCTACCGGAGCAATATGGAAGATACAAAGAGAGGGAGGAGCAACGAGCGCCCTGGCGGGTGAGCCAAACATACCGCGGGTGAGCCAAACATATCGGTTAGGGTTAGCCTACCTACCTACTGCGCCTAAAGAAGGGGCTAGAGGGCGGGAGACGCCGCGCAAAGCCGAAATCCCTGTTTGCAGGTGCACTTCCGGATGTGCCGCCAGGCGACCGAGCGACCGAATGGGCGATCACACCACGCGCACGTGCCACCAGCGCTCGGCTGGCGTTCGGCAATACGGGCACGCTCGCAGCCGAGCGGAGCAGGGGCCGCAGACACACTGGTGGCCACACGGCAGAGCGGCGTGCGTCTTCGGCCTAGTGAAGCACACGATACACGTAGTCTCGCCACCTATTGTGGACTCGGGCGCGTCGACGGCCGGTGTCGAAGGTAGCGGCCGCCAGCGAGAGGATCTCAGGGTGAGGCGGTGCTGAGGGGGTGGAGCGACCGCCGTGCGCCAATCCCGCCTCGCTAGCTCCATCGGATGCCGGATCACTGAGCGGCTCCCTCGCCTGCCAGCCCTCTGCCGTCGACGTCTGCGGCAGATGCTGGACGGTGACCCAGTCGGGCGAACCGCCAGTCTGCTGCCCCTCTCCCTCCCTCCCGTCTGCCTCTGCTTGCTCCGCCGCCGCGGATTCCGCTGCCGCCGCCGCCGCCGCCGCCCTCGCTTCAGCCGCCGTCGCCCTCGCTTCAGCCCGCCTCCTAGCCCGCTCCCGGAACGCTCTCTCCGCGGGCTGCTTCCCTCTCTGCCTCCTGGGTGCTCGCCGCTGCCGCCACGCGCGCCAGCCAGAGACGACCGTCACGAGCAGCAGCGCGAGGATCACGGCGAGGGCGCTGCTCGAGGCGCTGGGACGGCTGGCGGGGCTCTCTGCTCCCGCCGCCTCCCGATACGACATTCCCGCGGAGGAGGACTGCTGACGGGGTTTGCGATGAGGGCGATCCGTTTCTTACATGTCATGTCTTCAGGCGTTAGTAGGTATTGGCAATTGAGGACACAGAGCTCACACAAATGCACAGCGGGAGGAAAGCGGCGAGTCGCAATTCCAGGGGTCGTTCTCCGTGCGTCGTTCGTGCAGCTATGAAAATAAAAAAACACACCGCACCTGAGCTGCGGCGGCGAGCCAAATAGAGCCCACACTGCGAGTCGCGGCATGAGTCCTACTGTTGGCAGGCAGCCCAGCCACATCCTCGAGCGGGTGCCGCGAGTCGTCAACCCGTTCGGGTTGCGGCCGTTTGCGCCGGGCATGTGCGGCCACGCGGGGATGGCCTTGACCGCGGTCTCGCTCTTTCCGATCCGTCTCATCGTCCTCATCGTGGCCGTCCTGATCGCCGGCGCCCTGGCGGTGCTCGCCACCATCGGAGCCGACGGATCAAAGCCCCTCAACGCCGCCCGGCGGCTTCTGCTCCACCCGATCCAGTGGCTGGCGCGAGTCGCCCTGTGGTGCCTCGGCTACTGGAGGATCCCCGTGACGCGCCCCGACGCAGTTCAAGGCGTCAAGACGCCGCGAGTCCTCGTCTCGGCGCCGCACTACTCGCTCATCGACGTCTTCTTTTGGACCTATTACGAGATGCCCATGACGCTCTCCCACCACGGCGTCGCGTCCATCCCGATTGTCGGGAGGATCGCCCGCGCGATGGAGACGATCTTCGTCGACCGGCGCACGGCGGAGGCGCGGGCCGAGGCGGCCAACACCATCAAGCGGCGCTGCCTCGAGCCGGGCTGGCCGCGCCTGCTTGTCTTTCCCGAAGGGACCGTCACCAACGGCTCTGCCCTCATCCAGTTCCGGCCGGGCGCCTTTGCCGTCGGGGAGGCCGTGCAGCCGGTGATCCTGCGGTACGGGACCCGCCCCCTAGACGTGTCGGGCGCCGTGCGCGGGTACGAGGTCTTCCTGTACGCCATGCTCCAGCCCGCAAACTCGCTGTCGGTCGAGTTCCTCTCTCCGGCCGTGCCGTCCCAAGCCGAGCTGTCCGACCCGCGCCTCTTCGCAGGCAACGTGCGCGCGGCGATGGCGGCGGCGCTGGGCGTGCCGTGCACGAACCACAGCTACGAGGACGCGTGGCTGGCCGCAGTGGCGCACGAGGGCGGCCGCGAGGTCGCGCAGACCTTCGAGGTCAAGTCGCTCGCGCCGCTGCTGCAGCTGGACGCCGACGGCCTCGTCGAGCTGCTGCGTCGCTTCCACCGGCTCGACTCGAACGGCTCCGGAAGACTCGAGTACGAAGAGTTTGTGGACGCGCTCGACCTGGCGGGCGCGGCGCCCGGCTACGCGCGGCGCCTCTTCCGCCTCTTCGACACCGACGAGTCGGGCTCGCTCTCCTTCGCGGAGCTCACCCAGGGCCTCGCCGTCCTCTCGCCAAACTGCGAGCGCCGCCCGCCCCGCCAGCCACCACCGCCACCGCCACCACCACCCGCCCGCCCGCCCGCCCCGCCAGCCACCACCGCCACCGCCACCACCACCCGCCCGACCCGCCAGCCACCACCACCACCACCGCCACCGCCACCGCCACCACCACCACCCGCCCGCCCGCCCGCCCGCCCCGCCAGCCACCACCGCCACCGCCACCACCCGCCCGCCCTGCCAGCCACCCACCGTGGCGACGCGCCCGCGACGGCTCCTCGCGCCGCGCCGCAGGCGAGCCGCTCGACCGGCTCAAGCTCGCCTTCATCACCTGCGACCTCGACGCGGAGGGCGGCGTCACCCTCTCCTCGCTCCGGCGCGTCGTCGCCTACGCCGCCGAGCGGCAGCGCGCGTCGACGGGAAGGGCGCCCATCGACGCCGAGCGGCTCGAGGCTGCCTTTGCGGCGTCCGACCGCGACGGCGACCGGGCGCTCGACTTCAACGAGTTTTGCTCGCTCGTCGAGGCGAATGCCGAGCTGCTCGGGATTGCGTCGGAGATGGCTCGCGGGAGGCTCGAGGGCTCGGCGCTGTCGCGCTTCGTCGAGGAGGCGCGGGAGATGAAGGAGGTGCGCCGCTCGCGGTCCAAGCAACAGATGCGCTCGGACAAGGGCGGTAACGGGAAGGCGGCCGCGGGTGGGTACATGCGGCTGGAGGGCGAGGAAGACGGCGGGTGAGTTCACTCGAGTCACTCGTGTCTCGCGAGCGCACGTGTGAGTCGTGGCCTTCAAGTTTTGACTTTGTGGTCTCGCGTGTGGGATGTGAGATGTGAGTTGTGAGCATGTGACACATGTGTGTGTCGTTTTCTGTGAAAAAACTGTGATTCACGGTAACAAAATGTTTCGACGGTATGGGATATCGTGTTCGGAGGGAATTGGACCGCGAAGACTCGCCTCTCGCGAGACCGAGAGGACACGGGCGACGGGGTCGATGGTGCGATGCTCTCGACTGTGAACCATCCGCCGCACACGCCACACCAGACACACATCACTCTCTCGTCACGGGGTGGGCAACCATCGAATTGTTCGTGGCCGGCTCGCCCGGGTTGCTGGGCGTGGGAGCGGTGGCGGCATGGTACAGCCCGGCACACATGACCAGGGCGCAAAAGCAGATGATCAGGGCGTCGGTGGCGAGGGAGAGCAGCTCCGCATGGCTGAGCCGCGGAAATCGGTCTGGCGCTCGCCCACGCTGCCTGTTCGCGTCGCTCGCTTCGAGAGAGGCATCGCACGTTGCGCCAGCCGGCGTGCTGAGCGGCGCGACGTCGTCTCGCGAGCCGCCGCCGCCTCCAGAGCGGCGGGCGACCTCGGACCACAAGCGAGAGAGCGCACGCGCGAGCCTCCGGTGGCACGGCCGCGGCTCGGGCAGGGCGGCGGCGTCGCCGTTGAGGCGCACGGTGTCGGCTGGCTCCCGGAGCGCCGCCCGCGAGAGGAGCAGCTTTGCGTGTATCGCGCTCGGCAAGGCGGCGAGGACCGTGTTTGCGACCGCTCCGACGAGGTCGATCAGGGTGGCGAGGTTGGTGAGGGAGAGGACGAGCGCGTAGCAGCCGCTGACGAGAAGCAGCCGCAGCGCGAGCCGCGCGGGGAGGGAGGTGAGGCCTAGGGCCAGGGCCACGGTGAGGGCGGGCAGGGGTGGAGGGCGAGAGCGGGGAGGGGGGTGAGGCCTAGCAGCGAGTCGAGGACGAGCCGCGCCGGGGTGAGCTGCAGCGGGAAGGTGCACACGACGGCCGCCTGGCAGCGGGCGAGACATGCGGCGGGTGGTGAGCAGAGGTTTATGTGAGCAGAGGTGGGGCCGGCGCGAGGAGGAGGCGGCGGGCAGGGCATGGCGGAGGGTGGCGGGCGGGCGCCGGGCGGAGATGGGCGGAGATGCGCCCACCGTGACAACGTTGTTTGCGAGCGCAAAGAGAGGGGCGTGGGCGGTGCCCTCGAAGCGGCGGGCCATGTCGGCGGTGATCGAGGCGGAGGAGATGTCGGGGAAGGCGGACGCGGTGGCGGCGGAGACGGTGGCGAAAGTGGCCACCACCGCGCTCAGCGCCCCGACGAGCAGCAGCGGATACCGTGGGTGTGGCTCTGGCGCGAGCGCGTTGCCGACGGGGAGGACCATGGAGACGCCCTCCAAGGCGTAGAAGCAGGAGGCCGCGGCGCCGCCAATCGCGGTGAAGCTCGCCCCTCCCTCGGCGGCAGGAGGAGAGGGCTCTTGCAGCAGCGGCGAGGAGAGGTTGGAAGGGAGGTAGCCGCCCAGCGGAGCGGGCAGCGTCGCGTCGATCGCCTCGGCGGCGGCGGCGTGCTCGAGGCGGAAGACCGCGGCGGTCGAGGCGGAGCCGAGAGCAAAGAACATGGCCGCGGTTCCAAAGGCGGAGAGCACCTGCAGCAGAGCCGCGCTCGTCGCCTGCCCCTCCTCGCCGGCGGCGGCGGCTGGGCGGCGGCTACTCTATGGCTGCTATTGTGTGGCGGCGACCGGGCGGCGGCGACTGGGCGGCGGCTACTGGGCGTCACGGGTGCCGGGACCCAGAGGTCGGCGAGCGAGGGGAGGAGCGAGAGGGCGGCGCAGGCGAGGTAGGCGAGCGTGACGGCCTACGGGACGTGTCATGGACGTGTCACGCCGAGCGATGGCACGGCCCCGGCGTGGGGTACCCGAGGCGGCCTGCCACCGCGCGATGCCGGCCGCCTCGACGAGGTTCTCGCCGACGAGCGCCAGGAAGACGGAGCACACTCCGAGCTACTCGGGCACACGCGGTCTTCGTGAGCATGCCTTTGTGCTGTGCTTGGGGGACTCTGCTCAAAGTCTCTCGTGGCGCGAGGCGGCAAGGATGTGCGGGGGTTGGGCAGAGCGACACGCGTGCCTGCAGAACACAGACCGCCGCCTGCACCACGCAGCGGCCCGGCGTTCCAAACGCCAGCCACCCGAGGTCCTCGAAGCTCAGCGCCTTTGTCGACGGGACCCGACGTGTGCCCGAGGCGCGGCCGCGGAAGTGCGCCGCATGCTGCGTCGCGACAATGAGCCACATGCAGTAGACGCCCTGAACGCCCACCACCGCGAGAATACAGAGGCCGATCGAGGGCCCGACACGCACAAACTGGAGCGGCAGCGCCAGCACGCCAGGGCCTAGGTTCCCTTTCATGAGATGGACGACCGCCTCCGCAGGGGTGATGTTCCGGCCCGCGTGCCGCGCCGGTGACGCATCGCCGACGGCCGGCGGCAGCGAGCCCACGTTGTCGGGCATGATAAGCGTGGCTGCGCGCCGCTGCGAGACCGCAGCCGCGTGCGAGACGGTCGACGCGCGAAGGCCGAGGCTGGAGCGGCTAACCGCGGTTTCTTTTTTCTTTTTCTATCCCTTCCGTCTTGCGCCCACCTCTACCGTGCCGGTGTCCCAGTCGTTGGTCTGACTGTGCGTCGCCTGTTTACTTACGATGAGAGCTCTCCCTTTCCTGCTGGATTCCTGCGCGTTTTGGACAGGTTTTGGACCGCGTTGACCGTTGTGGTCCGTCGCCGACGGCGAAGCGATGAAGCAGCCAAAGAAAGTGGGGCTGGCGTTTTATGGCCTTGAAACACACATCACATCACGCCACGCACACCGGCCGAGACGCGGGACTGTCTCGGCCCCGGTCACACAACCAGCTTCCGCGTTCCGCCTCCGTGTCTCCGCTCCGGCGGCGCAGCCGGCGGGCGCGCCTCGGTGGCGCTTCTTCTCCGCCTAGCCGATGCCGGCGATGGGGCGCGCCGGCTTGGGCACGCACAGGATGCAGTGGCGCACCGGCTGCAGGTGCCCCCGCTGCGGCAGCGGCCGCGCCGACTCTGGAGGCGAGCAGGCGCCGCACACGCACCGGCCGCAGCGCCGGCAGTGGTGCCGCCGCTGCAGCAGCCAAAAGGACTGGCGGCAGAGCTCGCACGAGGCCGCCTCCCGGTCGGGCGTCCAGGAGGCGCGTCGCTCCGGCGCCGGCGCCACCGGCGGCGGCGGCAGCGCCACGGCGCGCATCTCTGTGGGCACCTCCTCGCCGGCCGCCTCTGCAGCAAGCACCCGCCGGTACCTTGGGGGGCGGTGAGGGGTGCGGTGGGAGGGAGGGCGCGGCGGGAGCGGCGCGGCGGGCGCGATGCGCTCACAGGTCGGCCGCCGGCGTCTGGTAGCGTAGAGGGAGCGCGAGCGCCAGCCACACACGACGAGGCACGCCCTTCGCTTCGAGAAACTCGCGGCAGCGGTCGTTGCCGCCGCGCGCCATGGTGGCCATCTCGGCGGCGGAGAGCTCGTCGAGCTGCAGCGAACGCACAAAGGAGATGTGGACGCCGAGCGCTCTGTGCGCGCCGGCGCAGCGGATGCAGAGGCGCACAGCGTGGTTCACGGAAGCCCACGGATCCTCGGCGCACGGCGCGGCGCAGTCGAAGCAGCAGCCGTCCCAGGCTGGGGAGGCGGTCATATACATTAGCGGCCCGGCGAGGAGCCGGCGAGCGCTCCGCAACTGCGGCTCGTCCGGACCAGAGCTTGGCAACCTTAGTGGCCGCAGGCCACACGCCCGTAGGGCGTGAACTCGTCGCGCGCGTAAGCGCGCGAAGAAAATTTTCAGAGATACGTACGTACTTACCCTGGGGAAGGCCTTGTTTTCACGTCCTTAGCGAGTGATGCAATCACGTTCTTGTTTTGCCCAAAACAAGACCGTACTCGCACGTTCTTATTGGCTGTGGCAAAGACACGCTCCGCCTCCTTCGCCGTCGCCAGCGGCGCTGCACCATGCACGCGTACTTTCCGCCCGCCGATGCAGCGGCGCCCGCGGCCGCCGGCGCGGGCGAGGCGGCAGACGGCTCTGACCAGCGGACAGCGGCACTACCCGCGGGCGCGCCGGCGCCGCCGCAGGCGGCTGCGTCCGGCCCCGAGGTGGCAATGCCGTCGTACCAGCCGTGGAAGCAGTCCCGGCCGGAGTGGAAAGGCTGCACTGCAGAGCAGTGGGCCGCCTCCCGCTGCAAGACCGACGACTACATCGCACCCACGATGCCCAAGCGAAGGGTTCTGCGCCCGGCAAGATGTGGTCCTTTGGCGTCTGCCAAAAGGGGGCGGCTGTTGGTACGAAGCAGTGGCGCTGCCTTTGCCCGACGGCTGGACCACGCGGAACGGTGGTCCCGTGCGGCGAGCTCTTGACCTTCCCCGACAACGGCAACATTTGGAGCTCGTGCGCAAAACCCCCTGCCAGCCGACGGCCCCACACCCCCATTTCCAGATTGCCTGTTTGAGATGTCCCCCAACTCCTCTTACCTCGTGCGGTCTCGTAGGCACTTCAAGAAGAAGCACTTCAAGATATGGTCGGATGAGGTCTGAAGCGCTGCGGCGGCGGCGGCGGGTGGTTGTGTGTGGGTGGGGGGGGGGGGGCGCTCTCCAGGTCGGCGTTGGGAGGGTGGGGTGGGTGCCCCCTGGGTGCCCTGTTTGTGTACATCTTAACAAGTGCTCCGAGCGCTTAAATATCATCAGGGGGCCATGATCGAGGACCGCCAGTCGAAGACCCTGCTGACTGACGAGACCGTGCAGCGGCTGCGGAGAACGCGCCGCTGGTGAACGGCCAGGGATACGTTTGGGCCGAGGGCTACGGCGGCCGCCCCGGCTGGGTTCTCTGCGTAGATTAGGGCCAGGATAGGGCCAGGAGCCGCCGACGTCCGGCGCGAGGACCGGCTCTTGCGCACAGAAGCGAGCGGAGCGAGCCGAAGAGAAAATTTGAGGATTAAGGTCGTACTTGCATGTATGTACGTCCCTGTTTTGACAGTACGTACGTAGTGTCGAAGTACGTCCGTGATTGAGCTGAGGCGCACGTACGCGAGGGGCGCTGGCGTGTCGTCAGCAAGGGCGTGTGGGCTGGGGGCATTTCCGCCCACGTTCTTGCAATACGTACTTGATTTCACGGTCGTGAAAGCAAGGTTGCCAAGCTCTGGTCCGGACACGCCAATATCGACCCGGGGGACAGGCGGGTGCAAGAATTTTTTTGCCGGCAGGCGGCGTCGCAGGACGAGGCATCCCATCCCTCCCTTGGGTTGTGTGTTTTCTTTCTTTTCTTTAGGACGAGGCAGACGAGAGCGACGCGACAGAGGAGGAAACGACAGGAGGGAGAACGACGAGAGTTGGGACGACCGCGAGGGCCGAGGTACCATGACGCATGAGGGTTGCAGCGAGAATCGGCGAGGGACTGCGAAGGAGCGAAGGGAGATAGAAAGAGGCAGACGACCAAGGGTTAGGGTGGGCGAGGGCTAACACCACACTCCTCTCCTTAAAATCCCTGTGTGGTGGCGGCGTGCCGTCCTCCCATCCCTCACTTGGGTTACTCGGTTTCTTTCTTTCTTTTACGCTTCGAGTTTTGACCGCGCAAGATAAAGGGTGGCTAAGGGCTCTGCCCGCAAGGCGCCCGCGTCGCCGACGCGGTACCGTTGACTAATACCGGCATTCACACCCACACGACCAAATAGCGAAAATCCGAACAAACAATGGTATTGCTAAAAATCCGAATACCGTGCAAAAAGTACATACACTGAGTTCCCCCGACATCCTGCATGCTGACACTGCTCTTGCCGGTGACAGAGCAGTTGGAGGGCATGAAGGTGCATGCTGACACTGCTCTTGCAGCGGTGACAGAGCAGCTGGAGGGCATGAAAGTGGCAGGCGAGCGCCGAGTCGAAGTGCTGACTCGGCGACAGGAGTGGCGTGAAGAGCTGACGGCACAGCAGGCAGTGGTGTCTTTGGCCACCTGCATGCAAGCTGCAGCACGCGGCCTCCTCACTCGTGCCGCTCTCAGGCGCATCAACACCCTTGTCTCACCCGTCAGGGGCAAGATGTCTGGCCTTTACCTCAACCGTGTCTACGGCGACCGCCCGGTATACTTTGCCTACTTCAAGCGTTAGACTAACCTTCCTCTCATCCCAAGGGAAGTGCTGACCCGATTTCCAAATTCACACATCGCGGCCCCGGCCATGCATGAGCAATCAGTGAGTGCACAGCGATCGCCACCTCGCTGGCCTCTCCGCAGCCCCCCCCGACCGCGTCGAACTCATCGACGCGGGCTCTCTCTCTCGGCTACGGGACCGGCCCCAGCTTCGGCTGAGGGCTGACAAGCTGCCGAGCCCAAATCACTGACACTGTGAGAGTCGTGATTTCTGGTTGAAAAAAAGCGCAAGGCTCCCCCGTAGGGATGCTCAACCGCCCCAGGCCACGCCTTGCGGCGGTCCTATTCGCAGCTCGCAGTTGGACGGCGCACCTTCTTTGTTGTTGTCGAGCGTCAGCTCGCCGACCGCTTTCGTGTGTTCCGGGCCCTTCGCTTCAGCCTCCACGATGATCGTTCGCCTGCTCCTCCTCCTCGTCGTCTCGTGCGAGGCCGTGCGGAGCACGCGCCGTGCAGTCATCGGCGGCGGCGCCGCCGCCGCCGTCGCCTCGTCGCCCATCCGCCGCGCCGGCGCCTTTGACAACGCGATCCCAGAGTACGCAAGCTACGTCGACAAGGCCAAGCGCCGCGGCACGCCGCCAAAGGACCTCGGCGTGCTGAAGCGCACCATCAACGAGCAATCCATAGATGCGGACCCCGTCACGTTTTCAGGGCTGCGCGGGTGCGACGGGAAGCCGAACTGTTTCAGCACCACCGGAGACAGCCTCTTGGAGGACCGCATCCTGACGGGCGTGGACACACTCATCTCGCCCTGGAGGCCTCCGGCGGATGACCCGGCCCCGTTTAAGACCCTGGCCAGTGCGGTCAAGGAGTACAAGCCCGGGCAGAGCTTCATCGACGGCGGCGGATTCGCGGTCGTGAAGGAGACGGACAGCTATTTGTACGTCCAGTTCGAGGCGCTCAAGAAGGGCTACATCGACGACGTCGAGTTCGCCATGGCGGGCGGGAGGGAGCAGGGCATCCAGGTGCGCTCGAGCTCCCGCGTGGGCCAGACGGACTTCGGCGTCAACGCGATCCGACTCAACGCCATAGCGGCTTCCTTGCGAGCAAAGGGGTGGGCGATCGACGAGATCACGCCAAAGACTCACCAGGACTACTTCTACGCTGCCGACGACGCTCGCGACCAGACCTTCGACAAGGACCGGAGGAAAGGGACCGAGATGGAGAATGGGCGAATGGACCGGCCCGCCATCGGCTGATTTTGGCGGCGTCTGCCCGTTTCTCGGCGGACGCGCGCATACACAAAGCGAATACCTGCACGCGCGGCGCGTGTGCCCTAGCGTGTGCCGTGTGTCGCTGCTGTACATGTACCACATGCATGTAGTTCTCACGGCAGCTGCACAGCTTCACACATGTACATGTTGTATGTTGTGTGGGTATACACACAAAGACCCTGCACAAAGACCGCAGGGCGGGGACTTGCTCCTTTTTATCCATCTCCTAGTAGACGTCAGAAGTGTCCTTTTTTACCTTTACTAACGGGCCCGTTGGCCGTTCGCGTTCCGCGTTTGGGCCGCCCCGTCGTTTTGCTTTTGGCTTGGCGTGACGCCTGCTTGCGCGTTTGGGTTGCAGGCGTCACGCCATGTGCACCCCAAGCTTCCCTCACACCAAGATCGTGCAGGGCGGGGACACATCTCACATGTCCCTAAATCCCATCTCGTCTCAGAGTTTGACCCGCCTTATTTATTTTTATTTATCACCCCAAATCATGCGTGCCTTCATGCGTGGACACTCTGCGATTCTGGTCCGCTCCACCGCTCCAGCCCCTCGCGCGCTCCACAGTAGAGCGGAGGGCTACGGATGCTTCGCGCTCCAAGGGGCTGCGTACGCATGTTCGGCTCTCGCCCACCCTCTTGCCGGGTTCATTCTGCGTCAAAGGCCTGAGCAATCTTCTCGTCGATGGAAATCGAGCCGGCTCCGGTCTTGGACAGGAGCCAAAAGATCAGCGCGTAGAGCACGGGCTCCTCGAAATTGTAGCTGTAGTTCTCCACATGGCCGAGCGGGAAGCCCTGGAGTCCGGTCGATGCGAGGTGGAAGTAAACTGCGCACGCCATCGTGGCAAAGAGGAGCAGCGAGGCCGGCCGCGTGAGAAGGCCGATGGCCACGAGCAGCCCGCCCCAGAACTCTGCGTAGTCGTGCAGCGCAGACCAGAGCGCCGGGTCGCCAGGGAGGAAGCCGAAGTACGGCTTGATGATGAAGTCCACAAAGCCCTCGAAGCCTGGCGTGCCAAAGTTGGCCGGGCCCAATCCGCCCTCCGAGCCGTGGTGGATCATCAGCACGCCAGCGGCAATGCGCAGCGGCACAAGGGCCGAGTCGAGCCCACTTTCGGCCACGGCGGCGTCGGTGCTGAAAATGGCAGGCAGAAGAGGAAGAGCCGATCGCTCCTCGGCGCAGACTGGCGCAGACTGGCGTCGCCGGAGCGGCGAGTGGAGCACAGACCCTGGCGACAGAGCGCTGGCTGATGACGCCGAGGCGAGGACAGCGAGCGCTCGGAAGGATCGCATTTTGCACTCAGCTCTTGGACACAGACAGGGCAGCCTCGAAGCGAGCAACCGGGTGGCACCTCTGCGACAAAAGAATTTGTTGCCCCGGTACACCAAAAAGCATGACCCGGGGATGAGAACATGCACACCGCGAGAGGCGAGAGTGTTCAGAGTGAGGATTTCAGCCACAAAACGACTGTCGCAACTCTGGTGAGAGATAGAGTTGGTGTTGTCAACTGGTGTGGGGGGCCCTAGCCAAGGCAAAGCTCTAATTTTGTCGGCAGCAAGACTAAATCGTAGGACGGGTCGGAGCACTCGCGAAACGGGAGGCTTGATGCGCCATCGCCGCAAGGCATGCAAGTCACGCGCACAGGGGGTGGAGTGGGAGTGGCGGTCGGTTTTTACACCTCGACGGCGAGGGTTGAGAGGATCGGGCCCGGAGTGCGCCCGCGGCTGGGGGCGGCAGTCACACCTGTGCCTCCCCCTCCTTCTTCTTCCTCTTCTTCTTCTTCTTGTCGAGGCCGAGCGCGTGAGCGATCCAGACGCTCGAGGGCGAGACGCCGCCGGCGCAGCGCGCGACGTAGCCATGCGTGCGCATCTCCTGCAGCCGCGAGAGCGTGCGGGCGAAGGCGAACTCCTCGTCTCCGCTGTCCTGCACGATGTTGCCGATCACGTCGCCGAACTTGTCTGCGTGCGAGTCGGCGCCCTCGGCGAGGAAGAGGTCCGCGGGCGCCACGGCGGCGGTGACGACGAGCAGCACCTGCGCGTCGTAAAACGCGTCGACGGCCGTGATGAGCCGCCGCAGCTCGGTGGCCTTGTGGAGGGTGAGCTGCGGCACGCCCTCGAGCACGACCACCGCGTACGCCTTGGCCACCCGCAAGTAGTCCTCGGGCCCGAGCGGTGCGATGCCAGGGCGGGTGCCGCAGAGCTCTGCAAACGAGAAGCGGGCGGCGCGCGCCTGCGGGAGGGGGGTCCGGCAAGGTAGCGGGGGGGCCCTGCCGCTCTCCGAAGGGGGAGCGAGCGGCGCGCGCCTCCTCGCTCGCCTCCGGCACGTCCAGCGTGCGGCCCGAGAGGCGCAGCGTCTGCGGGGCCGTGGCCGAGCCCGCGACCAGCGCCTCCCACAGCCTGCGCGCGCTGCTCCCCGTCGCCTCGTCGAGCGGGTGCAAGAAGGTGCCCGCGCCGTCCGGCGGCAGCTCCGCGAGCGGCGACGCCTCGGCGGCGAGCGTGCGGTAGTCCGTTGTCGACTGGAGCTCGTGCACGTCGCACCGCTCCTAGGGGGGAGAGACGGAGGCTGGCGCGGTCAGGAGCGAAGAGCCGGGCGCGGCCTCGTCGGCCGCCCCCGCGCGCCTTGACGTCGTCGATGAAGGGGAGGAAGGAGGGGCGCTGCAGCCCGCCGAGGTAGAGGTCGTCCGGCGCTCGGTTCGAGGTAGCGACGACGACCATGCCGTTGTGGAAGAGGCGCCGGAAGAGCTTGCGCAGCATGAGCGCGTCCGCAATGTCGGTGACCGCAACCTCGTCGAGGACGAGCACCTGGCGGCGGAGGTGGCGGGAGGGGGGGCGGAGGTGGCGGGAGGGGGGGGCAGAGGGCGGGAGGTGGGTGCTCAGTCCGCGGGGGAGAGGGGGCGGGGGCAAGGAGGGCGGTGCCTGTGTCTCGCACGAGAGCTCGTAGGCGAGGTACGGGACGGGGTCGCCTGTAGGGAGGTTCCGTGAAGCTTCGCCGAAGGTTCAGCTCGTGGGCGAGGTACGGGACGGGGTCGCCTGTAGGGAGGTTCCGTGAAGCTTCGCCGAAGGTTCAGCTCGTGGGCGAGGTACGGGACGGGGTCGCCCAGTTCGGGCATCTGCTGACGCAGCTTGTGGGCCCGCTGGTGCACCTGGAGCGGTTAGGGTCAGGGTTAGGGTTAGGGTTAGGGTTAGGGTTAGCTTGTGGGCCCGATGGTGCACCTGGAGCGGTTAGGGTTAGGGTTAGGGTTAGGGCTAGGGTTAGGGTTAGCTTGTGGGCCCGATGGTGCACCTGGAGCAGGTAGGTAGGTAGGTAGGTAGGTAGGTAGGTAGGTAGCTTGTGGGCCCGCTGGTGCACCTGGAGCGGGGCACGGCAACCTCTCACGCCACGCCACGCGGAGCAGCGTGCGCGCTCGCCGGCGCGCCTCCATCAGAAACTCGTGCAGGTGCACGCGGCGCACCCACGCCTCCGAAGCCCCCTCGGGAGGGAGGATCGACGGCGCGAGGAAGCGGTCCATGAGAATCGACTTTCCACACCCAGAGCTACCGTGCATGTATATGCCTTTGGGCGCCGCAACGCCGCTCGCTAGGTCCGGCTCGCCGTCGTTGCTGCTGCCGCCGCCGCCCACCATCGACATCAGGCGCGACCACAGCCCGCCCTTGCCGCTCCCCGGGGACTCGTTCTTCACCCCCGTGTAAAAGCTGCCGCCGCCGGTCGGCTCGCCGTAGGCGTCGACGGTGGGACCCTTCCACTCGCTCTCCTTTGGCGGCGGAGGCGGCAGCGGCGGCGGCGGCGGTCTGCGAGCAGGCGGGTGGGTGACGCAGACGCGACGGCGGTGGCAGTGAGTGGCCTTGGCGAGCGCACTTCCACGCGAGCATATCTCGGTGCAGCCTGTCCAGGCGCTCGATCGCTTTCAGCTGGGCAGCGTCCTGGAGCACGCGAGGTCAATGTGCACGCGGTGAGCTTCGGCAGCGGGCGGGGAGCAGCGGGGAGCAGCGCGGCGAGCACGCCTCAACCAGGTCGCCAGCGGCCACCGCCGCATCGTAAGCGGCGCGCGGGCTGGCGACAGAGCAAAGGCACCGCGACTCTCGGGACGGCAGGAGCCGACTGGCCGTGAAGAGTGCTCTTCGGCTACGCTGCATGCGGCGGAGAGCGCTTTGGCCACGCCGGTTGTTGGCGGCGATCGATGGCGGTGTCGGCACCCTAGTCGGCCGGACTCGGGTACCCAAAAAAGAATTTTGAGGCACGACGCTGGGCACGGGAGCACAGACGTGCGATGGAAAGAGTAATGCTCCGTCGTGGAGCGACGTGCTCGATCGATTCATTGAATACAGCAGGGAGGCAAACGGGGTGTGCACGAGCGGACCCAACATGACAGAACACACGTTCGAAGAAGGGCGAACCAGGACGGACATCCGAGTGGAGGGGAAGGCCAGGACGCTCTACCTCGGAGGGAAGAAACCGGCGCAAGACAGCGGCACGCACCTGGGGTCGAGAGAGGACGGGGACAATCGAGTGATAAAGCTGGAGGGGACCCCGGGCCTTGATACGAACGCGACATGGGAGGAGGAGATACCCGAGCAAAATAAGATCACGAAGGACGCGGTGAGAAAGATGATGGAGAGACAGGAGAGGGAGCGACAGGAGGGGAGCCTCGGGGCGGATGAGACGTTGTTCCCAGAGGGGGCGCCCCAGAGACACATAAACTGGCAGAAAGAAGACTACGAGCTGTTTGTGGGACACGGATACGGGGCGAGCGCGATCAGAGTAGGGGAGCTACAGGAGGACCCCCTAACGCGCTTCTTGCTCCGATACGACGAATTTGAGACGGGGGGAGAGCTGACGGACGGCAACGGGAAGCGAATTAAGATGGGAAAAGACAGCGAGCCGCTGCGGTCGGGGAAGGGACGAGCCCTGAACGTGAAAGTAGCGCAGACATGCCTCGCGTTGCACGTCTCACACCAGTTCACACACTTTGCAGCGACGGACGGAGGAAAGGACCATGAAGACAAAATGGCGGAGGATGGAAAGCACGTGCCGAACCCTAGGGTGGCGTACGGCGTGTTCGAAGGACCGACACGATTCGGAAAGAGCGTCCCGGGAGACACACAGGTAAAGGATCCCAACGGAATCGGACCCTGTGAAGAAGGGGAGATACGGACAGCGTTTGGGGCGGGAATGTGGGGAGGAAAGCTGCCGAACATGTGGGAGCCGATAGACGCGGAGATGTACGCGATACTCGCATACTTACGCAAAATGGCGAGCGCGAGCGATGCGCAATCGCGGCGGTGCTTAGTGCTATGCGACTGCAAACCCGCGCTGCAGCAGATTGAGAATGCGCACCGCAAAGGGATGCCAGAAGGCCTGAGGGACTGGGAGAGAGGCGGGCTCCTGGAGGCGATCGCTTACTATAGATCGAAGCTAGAGGCGGTGGTCTTCATGTGGGTGCCAGCACACGTGGGAGTAGCCTGCAACGCATACGCCGACGCGGTGGCGACAGCACACCTCGGGGATAACGACTCAGAGGACGCCTCGAAAGTGGTGCGGGACGCGGTGCGGACGCGGCCATGCATGTACACGGTGCGAAGGGAGGCGGCAGAGAACGCAGAGAAGAGGGAGATAGTGGACCGACGGACGTACGGACACATGTGTAAGAGCGCGCACGAGTGGGTGTGCGAGCAATATCGAAAGACAGTGAGGCCGGGGTCGCACACGGCAGGGGTGGCGGGACGGTTGTGGAGCGAAGTGGCAGTAGCCAGCCTCAAGCATCGATGGGATAATAAGATGAGATTACCGGACGAGAACGGGGGGAAGGACAGGCGGGCGACATTTGACGACGTCGGGGATCACAATGTGACGACCAAAACGATCTTGGGGGCCAGGGTGAGACAACAGGTCGGGGTGCCACACGGGGCACACCACATGCGTATTCTAGAGGGGGAAAAGAAACGGGGAATGAGGGGCCCCGCCACGAGAAGTGCGTTCTGGGGATGCAGAGCGTGCAAAGCGGCTAGGGATGAGGCCACAAAAGAGACGCGCGAGGCAAGGAGGAGACGCGGGGAACTGAAAGACTGGGACGACTGGAAACAAGAAGACAGTGAGCCACCACAGGCGTCGTTGGCGCACATACTGAGCGGCAGCTGCGCTGGAAATAAGGAAGAGGCGCGTCACTTCATGCGGAAGCTCGACAAACACACAGCGAGGGCGACAGCAAGAGTTGAACGGGAGGCGCCGGACTCAAAAGACACCGCCACATTCCTGAGACGAGCGAGGGCAGCCTCCTTAAAGGCGAAAGGGTCTAGATTTGGAGCGCTCGCCGAAGAGGAGTACGACAAAATAGCGCCCGTGATTGCCTGCACGCTACCCGCACTCACGGACTCCATACCCGAAAGAAAGAGAAGGGAGCTCGCGGGAGAGGTGACGAGTGAACTACAGGTAGTGGGGAAGGCAGCCTCGATGGCCATACAGACATGGGTGCGAAACAACGACAAGACCAGGGCACGGGCAGAGGAACGAGAGAAGAATATAGGGTGGATAAAGCGCCTGTTCACGGCATGGAGGGTGAGCCACGCCGAACGTACCGAGCGGAGAGCCGAGCGGAAGGAGGACGGGGAAGATGACTCCGAGGAGGACGAACCAGTGGAAATCCAGTTGTCAGATGTCACGATGCATCCGAAGGGGACCCCAGCGCCGGCATCATCCGTAGAGGCACGAGTGTTCGAAGAGAGAGTGGACCTGAGCAACAACATGACTTGGAGGCAAATGATCGGAGTGGGAGTCAGAAATGTGGTCCTTGCGCGAGGGGAGCTCGATAGACTCGAGGGGCCAGGATACGCCGCGAGGAGGACGGAGTTGCGCCGAAAGGCGAAAGAAGCCGCGAGAACAAGGGACCGGCAGGCGGCGGCGTCACAGGACGAGGCAGAAGAGAACGACGCGACAGAGGAGGAAATGACAAGGGAGAGAACGACGAGAGTGGGACGACCGCGAGGTGGCATGAAGATTGCAGCGAGAAGCGGCGAGAGACTGCGAAGAGAGATAGGAAGAGGCAGACTCCCTAGGGTGGGCGACGGCTAGCGCACCACACACCTCTCCTTAAAATCCCTGTGTGGTGGCGGCGTGCCGTCCTCCCATCCCTCCCTTGGGTTGTGTGTTTTCTTTCTTTCTTTCTTTCGGGACTCACTGGCACTAACACAGGTGCACCACCAAAAAGAATTTTAGAACCACGCGCCAGTCCCGTGGCCGTGCCCAGTGTCGTGCCAAAAAGAATTTTTGGCGCGACCCTGGGCACGGGACTGGCAGCCCGCATCCTCCCAGCTCCCACGAACGGATATATGCGAGAGTCGAGACAGAGCACTCAAAAATAAAAACACAAAGAGAGTTGTGTGTATTCCGCAATTTGGCGCGCAATCTAAAAAAATCCAACACGCAACAGGAACATTGTGTCTAACAACAAGAGAGAGAGCGCTTCGCATCCAAAAAGAGTGCGGATATACTCGATCAACCCGCCTCACCACTCCACTGTGCACCCCTCTCCTCGTGCGCAAGTCGGCTCGCTCACTCGCCCCGGCGCGCCCCTGAGGTCCCGCGCGCCTGGGCGGTCTCCCGCGCCCAGCGGGGATGGGCGCTCCCGCATAGCTTGTGTGTAGACGCCAAACACCTTCACCAGGTTGCCCTCCGCTCGCTCGCTTGCCACCCTCAGCCGCAGCTCCTGTATCGGAGGCTTGGCGGCGCTCCTCCCGACGTCGACGATGCACTGCTGAGAGGAACGGTCGCTCCACCGCAGATCATAGGTCCTCTCCCCGCCGAGTCCGAGCGAGATTCCCACGCGTCCAACGCTGCGATATGAGCAAAGAAGCGCCACCTGCACGTGGCTCGAGGCCGGCACGCTCAGCTCGAGGGCGTCGCCGAGGGTGTCGCTCGCGAAGCCCCATTTGCGCGTCTGCCAGCTGTGCACCGCGAGGCCGCCTGACGGCGTGCGAAGGGTTGGCACCCGCGCGGTCGAGAAGCCGCGCTCCACAAACCCGTGCGATGCGGCGTCGGGCTGCAGCCTATCGCAGCTGCGCCAGTCGCAGGTGCGGCAGCTCCAGGCGACGTCCAGCCGCTCCCACGACGCGTCTAGGTGGAGCGGCACCGTCGGCAGCGGTTGATGCTCCGACGGCCGCTCTCTCGTCCTGCGCAGCAGCTCCGCTGCGATGATCGCCGCCGCCGCCACGTGACCAGCGCAATCAGGATGGACACCTACAGTGGAGATGCAGCGGAGCTCGCCGAGGCGGCGCGCGCGCTGGGTATGGTGCTCTGAGTCCGACCTTCGGCCCAAGCGACGTTTGAAATCGCCTCCCCCATCGCCTTGGCCAAGGACAACTCGCGTGTGTGGTACGCGGTGGCCACGTCGGAATACAGCCCCTCGCACGGCGGCGCTGCCGGTTGTCGGGGTGGCCGGCACATGTACAAGATGAGGGGCTCTGCGCTTGGCCACCTCAGTCGCACCCGCCGGAGGAGCCGCTCCATCGATGCGCTCGGGCCGAGTCGTGGGCCGCGATCGTGGGCCGAGTCGTGGGCCGCCATCGTGCTGCTGCCGCTGGATGGCGCGCCGAGAGACCTGTCGCGCATGGCCTCGCCAAAGTGGCCGTCATTCGTGGCGAACTCGACCACGAGCACGTCGACCGGCTCGGGAAGCAACTCCTCCAGGCAAAAGGAGGGAAAGGCGGAGCCAGTCGCACGCACTGCCCGGTTGACAACGCGCAGCCGCTCTGATCCCGCAGTCAGCTGGCCCGCAAACGTCAACCTGGGGTGGTTGACGCCAGACCCAGCCGAGATTGAGCCGCCGACGATGCCGACGGTGAGAGTTCTGCCGGCCAAAGCCAGGGTGGCGTCGAGGGCGGAGAGCGCGCGGGCGAGCGCACTCTTCCAGTGCTTCACCGTTGCGGCGTCAGCGCTGCAGTTCTGCGGCATCGGCGGTGCTGCAGCGCAAGCGCCCGCCGCCGAGTAAAAGTCCGCGCTCCATTTCATTCATTCACGGGCGGGCGGGCGGGCACCAACACGAGAGAGAGACTGAGGGACACACGCACACAACACTCGAGCGACACAAAAAATCGAAAGGAAACACGCCACGGAAACAATGAGCAAACCAATAAGGCAGCGGCGGCGCAGCCAACGGCAGGAGAGGACCCGGAGCTACGTCGCTGTGTCAAGTCGCTGTGAAAGAAGGTCGGCACGAGCCAGTATAACTTGACGGGCAGAGCAGCGCCCTGTTGGAGCTGGACTGTGGGCTGGCCGTGTCTCCCGGCGCACGCTGCTGGAGACATGGGTCTCATCCGCTTCCTCTACGGAGAGCTCTCGCACGAGGCTCTCGTGCAGGCCACCTTCTTCTCCTCGCTGCTCTGCTTCATCGTCGGTGTTTACTGGATGATGCGCTCGCTCAAGGACTCTGTGTTTGCTAGTGTCGTCGGGCTGGAGTACCAGCCGCAGGCAAAGATGTTCTCGCTCGTCGTCGTCTCCGTGGTCCTCGTCGCGTACAACAAGATTGTCGACATCGTCCCGCGACACCGGCTCTTCGCCGTGATCTGTGGCGCGTACTCGGCCCTCTTTGTCGCGACCGCCGTGATGCTCACGTCGACGACGCACGGCCTCGTCGGCCCGGATGGACAGCCGATCCCGCCGTCGCCAGAGCGCTGGCTCGGCTGGATCCACTACTTCGCCATCGAGTCGTATGGCTCACTCGTCGTCTCTCTCTTCTGGCAGTACCTCAACTCGCAGGTCAACCTTAAGGAGGCGACGGCCGCGGCCCGACCGCCCGACCGCCCGCCACGTCGTGTCGGCGTGTCGCCACCGCTGACTCCGACCCGCCCACACGCTGCAGGCCAAGGGCCAGTACGGCCTCATCACCGCCGGCGGCCAAGCGAGCCACGCCCCACCGCGCCGCCCTCAACCCTTGGCCCCACCGCACACCGACCACCCCGCCTCTCTGGTCAGATCGGCGCCATCACCGGCTGCACCTTGGTGGTGGGCTCGAAGCGGTTCGGCGTCCCGCAGCTCTACGGCGCAGGTCGTCCCTCCTTTGGGAGCTCTTGCCGCCGCCGCCGCGTCCCCGCGTCCCCGCGTCCCCGCGTCCCCGCGTCCCCGCGTCCCCGCGTCCCCGCCGCCCGTGGCACTCGACGTCACGCGCCGACGTCATTCGCTCGCTCAGGCGGGCTGGCCTGCCTCGTCTCGCCGCTGATCGTCCAGATGTACCTCTGCCGCTTCCCGCCCGACGAGTTCATCAACGTCTCCTCCCGCAGGCTCCCTCGCCTCAGACACTTCCTAGACACTTCCTAGACACTTCCTAGACACTTCTCCTCCTTTGGCTCTCTCACCTCCGCTCCCTCTCCCCAACCTCGCCCGCCGGCCGCGCACCGCCCGCCGGCCGCCCTCTCGCTACCGCCCCGTCGGCACGCCCCGCCCCGCCCTCCCGCACCCCGCCTCTCACCGCGCCCCGCCCGCCGCCTGCAGCGCCCCCTCCTCCGCCAAGAAGGTCCAGCCCGGCCTCTTCGAGGGGCTCCGCCTCCTCATTCGCCACCCGTGCGCCGCAACACCCCCCCCCACACACACACACACCACCACCACCACCAGCGAGGGCCGCCGGCTCCCCACACCTCTCCGCCGGCCGGCCACGCGCAGGTACGTGCTCGGCATCTTTGCCGTCTCCGCCCTGTTCGAGGTGATTGCAACCATCCTCGACTACCAGATGAAGGTGCTCGGCAAGGTGCGAGGCCCACCCGCCCTCCCTTGCTCCTTGGCGGTGCAGCCTCAACGCGAGGGGTCGCGAGCCCCGATGCTCGACCGTCATGCTAGACCGTCCCCCCGCGCGGGAGGCCTCTGGCGAGGACGCGCCAGCCACGCACGCTCCCGCCGCGCCGCACGCAGGCCGCCTACTCGTCGACGGCCGACTTTGCCTCCTTCATGGGCATGTTTGGCCAGGCGCCACGATTGCGCCCGCCCCCGCCCTTGCCGTCACGTCCTTACGCCCCCCTCGTCCACACCGCCAACACGGTGTTAGGCGGCCAACACCGTGTCGCTCGTCTTTTCTCTCCTGGGCACCTCGTTTGTGATTCGAAACTTCGGGCTGCGGCCGACTCTCATGCAACTCTGCGCGAGCAAAGACGCTGCTGACGGTGCGACGCCGCCAGCGGACGCCGCCGCCGCGTGCCCGCTGTAGGCTGTTCCCGACGATGCTCGTGGTGGTGGTTGGCGTCGTGTACTTTGTGCCCTCGATGTGGTGCCTCTTTGGCGTGATGGTGGCCATCAAGGGCCTCTCCTATGCACTCAACAACCCGTCCAAGGAGATGCTCTACATGGTGTGACGCGCGCCCGCCTTGCCGACGCTCCGCCTCGCCGCCCCCGCCGCTCCCGCACCCCGCCTAGCTTCGCGACGGTCGGGGCCCGGCGCTTCTCCTCCGTCGCCGCGCCTCAACATACTTCCGAAGCGACACTCGCACCCTCTGCCACCCTCCCTCGCGGTTGGCTTGGCCACGTCCCGCGAGGCTGGCGGCTCGGGTGGACATCTCTCGCGCCCCGCCACGCTCCGCCGAGCCTCCGCCAACGCCTCTCCCCGCCCCCTCGCCGCGCTGCCCACCTCCTCGCGCCCTCCCGCAGGTGACGACCGACTCGATCAAGTTCAAGGCAAAGTCTTGGATCGACGTCTTTGGCGGACGTGCCTCCAAGGCTCTTGGCTCGGTCCTCGCGCCCTCTGCTCCGCCCCTCCCGCCACAGTAACCGCAGACTAGCCCCACCTCTTCGCTCTCCCTTCGGGCTGGCTGCCGCACATTCACTCCTCGCTGCCGCCGGCCGCCGCCAGGTGGTGACAAACACCTTCAAGAAGCCGGTGACGAACCTGATGTTTTACGGCTCGCTCGTCTCCCTCGCCATCGCCCTGGGCCTCCTCGCCATCACATCAACCCTCGGGCGCGCCTTTGAGCGATTGACCGCTTCGGGCGAGCTCATTGGCATGGTGCGCCCGTGGGGCCGTGACGGGGGGCGAGGGGGCGCTCTCCCCTGGTCTCATCCCGGGCCTTGCGCGCCGCCGCAGGACAATGAGCAAGGCGAGGAGGAGAAGCAGCCGCTGAAACATGCCGCTGCTGAGGACGAGGAGAGCCCGAAGGCCTGAGGCGTTGGGCGTGACGCCTTATCGAGGACGTTATTTGGGCGGGGTCGGCGGGGGCAAGCGAGGGGGGCGGTTGTGGGCGTTGTGGATCTGGAGGCCTGTGTGCATTGGGATGTTGTGGCTGAGGGATGGGTGTCAGAGGGTGTGTGTGGATGTCCCGGCCACGGCCGCCCAGCAGCCACAGCTGATCTATCAGTGCTGTACTTGTGGTCGCACTCAAAAGTCAGACGGACAGACCTCAGTGCTCAGTCACAGTGCTCAGACGTGTATCGTGTCCGCACACACCACACCCTCAGCCCCTCGGCCTCGCGAGTGTCGAGATAGACTCGAGAGAAAAACGCGAGTCGCTGTGTCGGAGGGGAAACACGAGCGGGAACGAACGAGGAATCCTCACACAATCATCACACATACAACGAGGGGCAGACACACAGACACACAGAGACACAACATGTACATGTGCTCGAGCACACATGACCACACCGGGAGGGACGCTCACCACCGGCCGGGCCTTCGCGCAGCACTAGGCACCGCTCTTGGAGCACTTGGAGTGCAGTCAGTGACCTCACACATCCAGAGCTCTTGGAGCACTTGGAGTGCGGTCAGTAACAACCGCCTCACTGCCTCACATCCATCCAGGGCCGGGGAGCTATGAAGCGCACCCAAGGGGCCGGATGCTCGGGGACGGGCTACGAGCAAAAGCGCCCTGCCTGACCCTAGGGGCTGAGCCCTGGTCTGACAGCCTGACAGCAAACTCCCCGGACAGCGCCTGACAGTGCCCGACAGCCTGACAGCGCTGACAGCACTTTCTCTGATAGTCTGACAGCACGTGTCTGACAGCCTGACAGCAGAGTCTGACAGGCGAGGGGTCCCGTCGCTGTCAGGCGCTAACGTGACAGCCTGACAGCTGCCTAACAGCCCGACAGCACACAGTGGCCTGACAGCAGCGCTGACAGCCCGACAGCAGCACAGACCGTACACAGACCCCGTAGAGCCTCTTTCTTGTGCCCCATGAGGGTATAACAAAATTACATGCAAAGACATGTGAGTGTGATCCATGTAGTCATGGGATGGTCATGGGTCTCTCTCTCAACCCTCCCGTCCCGCCACACCTCTGCGCGTCTGCGGGGACCCCTCTCTAGCACCGGCGGCTGTGCTACTACAAATGAAGCTACCAGCTAGCCTTCTGGGGCCCTACAGTCATATGCCTACGGCGTCTGGGTGGGGGTGGCCGCCGCCGTCTGTGCCGCCGCCGCCGCCTGCGCCTGCGCCGCCATATGCGCTCCCCAGGCGGCCGCCGCGGCGCCGGCGTGATCACGCCGTGTAGGAGGAGAGGCTGAGAGCATGTGTAGTAGAGTCCTGCTGGTCTCCTCTTGATAGTGTCATAAGTGTGGCTGGTGTGTGTCAGAGCCTGACAGCACCCCGACAGCACCACCTGACAGCACCTGACAGCAACAGCCCAACGTCTGACAGCAGCAGCAGCATGACAGCTCTGACAGCTCCGACAGCGTCTGACAGCAACACCCGACAGCTCCGACAGCACCCGACAGCTACAGATCCCCTCGCCTGTCAGACACGCACCCGACAGCACCCGACAGCACTGACAGCACCTGACAGCTGGTCTGACAGAGGCACCTGACAGTGCCTGACAGCTGCCCGACAGACCGACAGATCACCTGACAGCACCTGACAGCCTGACAGCCAGGGCTCAGCCTAGGGGTGCGCGGTCGCAGGCGGGAGGGGGCCGTAAAGTAAACACTTGAGCACTTGAGCACTGGATAGGGTGCGATTCCGCATGGTACGGGACCCCTCGATCGTCTCGCCCTCCCTCACTGGTGTGTTCATAGTAAACACGGGTAGTAGTCTCCGAGGGTTAGTCCGCGCTTTGGGTTCCCTGGCGGAGAGGTAGGAGTGGGGACTGGGGTGAACACCACACATGAACATGCAAACTCAACCACGCCAAGACGTCGCCTGGTTCAAGACCCCTATACTCGTCCCCGCGAATGGATGGTTGCCCAGGTTACTAACTAAGGACACGATCCCGGCGTGAACACGACGAACTACCCTTCTCCGATGCACGCGCGGCACGCGCCACGGCGCGGCACGTGCCGCCGTCTTTGTTTGAAGTCAAAAGTCGAATCAGAGCGGTGTCGGCGTTGTCCTGATGAGTTTTCTCCCCCGGACCGCCCGTCCGGCACCGCTGAGGGACGCACGCCGGCGAAGCACCATCAAGCTGCTGTACGGCCCCGGCATTGGCCATTGATTGCCTCCCTCCCCTGGATATGCTAGACTGAGAGATATTGATTGTGCACATGGTTGGTCTCTACAATACATTCACTGACCCAACTAGGCGTATGGATTGCCCACCCAGGGCTATCACTTGGACCCATTAACCCTTTAGCCTTTTGCTTCATAAGGGTCCTGAGGACCCAATCTCGATATATCTCCAGTCGTAGCGGTGGAACTTTAAAACGGCTCGGTAAATATTTAGCCATATATGAGAGGATTACGCCACAGTGTCGTTTGAGTCGACAGTAAATCTCCCACAGCCCACGTAAATCCGTCTTTTTCAGGCACCCGGAGCCCGCCGCGGCCGCTTCTACGCCGGCGAAGCATCATCAAGCTGCTGTACGGCCCCGGCATCGCCTCCCCTGGCTTAGCTCTCAGTCAAGATATTGTGCACATGGGTAGCCTCTACAATATACTCACTGACACTGAACCTCCCAGAGCTCGTCCCGGTCCGTCACGGCCATCCTCGTCCTCCGGAGGGCCCCCGGCCGCGGCGCGGTGCGGCGGCGTCACAAATCCGACCACAGAGCACCGGGACGCGGTCGGGCGATCTGAGGCCCAAGTAGGCGAATGCATTGCCCATCCAGGGCTATCACCTGGACCTATCAACAGGCGCCTGCGGCGCCGTGCTCAGGAGCTGGTTTTCACTCGCTCGAAATGTGTACGTAAAAGGGTTAACTGGCGCCTGCGGCGTCGGGTCACGAGCTGCTCTTCACACGCCGAGCATGCCCTCGCATGCCGGACAACTAGGTAGGTCATAGACCTCCCCCCCTCTCCGAGGGCAGAGGCTGCCGCCTCTCGGATACTCGGCCATTCCAACGGCCAGGCCGCTCGCTTAAGGCTGATTGGCTAGACGAGCGGCCTACCTCCACTCCTCCACGGGGCTGTTGGCGCAGGGGGAGGTGTCAATCACGCTCCCGGGACGCCGGAGAGATCGGGTTGGTCTCCCCCGCCTTCAGCCCTGACCCGACGGGGACGCCACCACCCTCGCCCAGGGATCTACAATGCTGTCTTAAGGTCCGACCTGTGGGCTCTGCCTGCGCTCGGCACCGGGCACCGCCTCGGTATACAAAATGCGCCTGCGGGCGGACCCTCACAGATCACAGATCACACCCCGGCTTTGCATGAGCATTCATGCCACGCTGGCTGGGCAGGGCCGCGGAACGCCGCGACGCTTCTCCGCTGTCGGCCGTGGGCTGCGCCGCGAGGCCGCGGCCTCCTGCGATGTCTGCAGACTCCCCGGGCATCGTGGCGGTCAGCGACCTGCTCGGCGCGATCCTATCGCATTTGGACCTCTCCGACCTGCCGCGCGCTGCGCTGGTCTGCCACGCGTGGGCAGGTGCGGTGCGGAACGACGGCATCGTCTGGTGCGCGCAGTTTCAGAAGTGGACGTGCGGTGCAGCTCCCGCCCCGGCCGAGGCACGATCTGCGTTTCGACGATGCAAGCTGGCGCTGTGCGCACGAATCTGCCGGCCTCCTTGCAGCTCGGCAGTTGCCGCGGCGCCAAGGGCGGGGGCGAGCGCCATTGCTCTCGGGGGAGGCATCGTACTCGTGGTGGGAGGCGCGCCAATAGGGCCGCAGCGTTTACGATTCCGTCCGAAGCCTCACGGCTAGCTGCTGCATAGGAGCCACGACCAGCTTCAACTTTCGTGGCGATGTCGACGTGTGGCGGTACGTGGCGAGGCCGGCCGAGAGGCCGGCTCTCGAGCTCGTTTGCTCTCGCGTGGTGCCTGAAGGTGCGTCTCCCTTCCCTCAGGGCTCGTCGGGCGCGTGTCCCTCCGACCAAGCTCGTCAGCCGTGCACCCCCGCAGGCGCCTTTCTGCCCGCTCGCTGGCTGGCGAGCGGTGCGGCGGTGCGAGGAGACGCGTACCTCTACGGCGCACGCCTGGAACGAAGCCTCCCTACGACACGCGCCACAGTCCACGACGCGTCCACGATGCTTCCCGAAGGTGGCTCGGCCGACTTTGCCACCCTCGACTGCCTGCACCGGCTGACGGTGCTGCAAAGACCCTCGAGCAGCGGGGCAGGCTCTCCACTCCGTCTCGAGTGCCGCCGCGTCGGCTGCTTGGGCGTCGGTCCCGAGGGAGGCCTCTTCGGGCACTCGGCGCTCCCTCGCGCCCCCGCCCAGCTGCCCCCGCCCGCCAGAGCGACTCTCCTCCTCCTCTCAGCTGGCTGGACCACGGAATAGGCGTGCGCCGCCCGCCTCGGAGGCACGGTGTGCTTCGCGGCCGTCAACAACTCGAGCCCTCGGGACCCTGTTTCGACACCCGCCGCAGGCGCCGACTGCCTCCTTCTCTTCGGCGGCGAGCTCGGCAGCCAGCGAGACGTCGACGGCAGCGCCACGTCGCCGGCCCACCTGCACGGAACCTTCTCGGAACCTTCTCGGAACCTCCTAGGCAGCGCCACGTCGCCGGGCCACTCGGTGGCCACGAATGCGCTCTGGCGCCTTTGCCTACCCCGGGGAGAAGATGGGGCGGGAGTGGCGGCCAGGGGAGATGGGGCGGGAGTGGCGGCGCAGGAGGCGGAGGCGGACGCGATCAGAGAGGCGGCGGCGACGGAGGAGGCGGCGGCTCGCTGGCATTTGGTGCAGGCCAGCGGGGCCGTCCCGTGCGCCCGTTTCTGCCACTCCGCGGCGCTCGAGCCGCGCGGCGGCTGGCTCGTCTTTGGAGGTGAGATCTCGGCTGTATCTCGGCGGCATCTCGGCGAGATCTCGGCTGTGTCTCGGTGAAATCTCGGCTGTCTCTGTGCGATCTCTCGGCGATCTCTCGGCTGGCTCGCTTTTGGAGCTGGCCCGTGCCCGCCTTCTCACCTTGGACACCGCTCCCCGCCGGGTGGTTGTGCGCCGGGTGGCTGTGCGAGACGCGCCCCGATTGGACGCCCGTTGCAGGCTGGGTCCTCCCTCGCTCGCGCTTCCTCAACGACGTGCACCGGCTCGCCCTGCCCGCCCTCCGCTGGGAGGGGGTGGCCACCACCGGCGCTGTGCCGCGCCCGCGATGCCAGGCTGCCGCTGCGGTGTCTGCGGACGGTGTGTGCGTGCTTGAGAGTGCCGCCGCCGGCTGCCTTGCCCGGGCGCACACCGGGTGCTGGGGAGTAGGTGCATGCCTGCTCGTGTACGGCGGCGCCGCCCACGCCGCAGGGCCGCACGAGCACCTCTGCTACGGCGCCAAGCCCCGACCGCATTGGTCACGCGGCAGAGCAGGTCGGCCAAGCGGTGTGTGTGTGAGAGCAGGCGACCGCGTCGACGACCTCTGCGACATGCGTCTACTCCATTTGCCCACTGGTACGTGGCTGCCACACGACGCAAACGGCCACATCTGGCGGCCGCAGCGGGGAGGGACCAACGCTGCTGTCTGGGCTCTCCCCGCAGTGAGCGACGACGGCGTGGAAGGAGGCGGGGGGCGGGGCTCGCTGCTGCTCTTTGGAGGCATGAACTCCGCGCCGGGGGCCCACACTCCCGACTTTGTGGCGGTGGCGTCGCTGGTGGAGGGGTTTGCGTGACCACGGTCTAGCAAACCACGGGACGATTGCGGGGTCTGCCGTGATGCACGGGTGGCGCTGGTGGGCAATCTGTTCTTGTGACTGCAGGCCCGGGGGGATTTTTTGTGCGCCAGTCTCTCTCTCGTCTCTGTGTGCCTCACACTCACTCACACAAAAGCAACTCACTCACACTCACTCACACACGGCCCCCAACTGTGGAGTGCTTTCAACGATCGTCGATCGCATTGTGACCCCATTCTGTGCACGTGCCATGCTGCAACCTCTGCATGCAGACTTGCAGTGCCAGGTGCAGTGCATTCGAGTCGGGTTGGGCTAGTAGTCTAAGTTCTGAGCCTCGAGGCTTAGCGGGTCTAAGTGTGCCATGGCACGCTGGGGTGCTTACGCGGTCTAAGATCGGCGGCAGCCTCTTATGCGGGCTAAGTCTGCCGTGGCACGGCCTGGGGCCAAGAGGCTTCCCACCGTGATCAACGAACGGCGCTAGCCCCCAAATTTTCTTCGCCTGCTGCGGGCGCCTTCTAATCCGGATCGATCCTTCTCATGCTCAGCAATCGCCGCCTCAGCATCCTCCTCTTCCAATTCTCGTTGCTCTTCTTGAGCGCAATCTTCAAGCCAAACAGTTCTCACAAATAGCCTCAAGCTCAAACAAACGCATGTCACAGAAGCCTGTGTATGCTGGTCCTCTTTGAACGATCCGCGCGTGAGGTAGCATAGGGCCTTGTTGGCAGCCGCCAGCTTGTTGCGCTGCTTCGTTGCGATGAGCTGATAGGGATCGCAGAAGTGCATGCCAAGCACCGCCACGATCTTGAAGCAGAACACATCGCAACCGCATCGTCCGCACTGCCATCGGCATGCCGCGCCCGCCGCTTCGCCTCAGCCGCCTTAAGACACGCATAGCGGCAGCACATGGTACGGTGCGCGTACTTGAGCAGGAGTTGCGCGCCGCAAGTAGCGCACTGGCCCTGGGACAAAACGATATGGCGTCGTGCGCGGCATACGTTGGTCGGGACCGCGTCCAGGTATTTTTTTCGGGTAAACCTGGACTTTTGCAGGTATACCCGGGTTTTACCCGGAGTCTAAGTTCATGGCCCCCGACCATACAGCGTCTAAGTCCGAGCCCGGCTCCGTGCGGGGGCTAAGTTGAGCGCTCGCTCGCTGCAGAGGCTAAGTGTAGAGCGACCCTCTAGCCCTACCTACTACCCAACCATTCATTCGAGCAGTGCATGCATGCAGTGCCACAGCGGTCAGCGCGCGCCAGTCCCGCGCCCAGTGTAAACAAATAAACAGAAAGAAAGAAACCCACAACCCAAGGGAGGGATGGGAGGACGGCACGCCGCGCCACCCCCCCCTCCCTCCCTAACCCCCCTCAAGCCTCATCTCCCGAATCGGACGGCGCGTCGCCGCTCGCCCTCGTGGGCTTGGTGGTCCTCCCGCTGTGTGCCGCCGCCGCCGCCGCCGTCCTCTATCACAAGAAGATGCCACCTTTCACGGGTTTCTTCGAGAAGATGCCAGAGGAGGTGACGCCGCCGGTCCACCCCACCAGCCTCAAGAACCCGCCCAGCGAGGGGGAGCTGGAGTAGACCACTCGCGCTAGAAGAGGGGGAGAGGCGGCGGGGAGGCGGCCGCGGCGCTCTCCGCGGGCAGAGTGTCTGGAGCGGCCGCACACTGCTCGGTACATCCCCCCTTGCACATCTAAAGCCATGGCCGACCCCCCCCCCCCCTCCCTCTGCCGCTGGGGGGTGCTGGCCGATCTCTGTACAGACAGCTGTAAGTAAGTAAGTAGCGCGTTCCAGTGGCGAGAATTTATGGTCGGCACCGTGAGACCGGTCTCACGGCGTAACCTCCTACTGCCAGCCATGCGGCGCGGTGAACACAACCGCCTCAAGCGTACCGCTCAAACACGAGCCGAGGGGGGAGGGGGCGGCGGCGGCGAAGAGGCGGGAGCTGGGTCCACACTCCAGTGCACGGCTCTCTGCTGCTGGGGGGTCGGGGGGATCGGGACCCCCCGCCCCCACAGCAGCAGCGCTCTGCTACTGGGGGGGTCGGTCTCATACTTTTTGTAACTCCTGTTGTTGTGTATGTGTACGCAATAACAGGACAGGATGATTGTTCTCTCCAACTCCATCTCCCCTTCTAGCTCTTACTTAGATCTAAAAACAAAACATCATAGATCTATGAGCAGAACAACAATTTTGAGAGAGTTTTAGCAATACCAAACAACTCTAACATCCCCCCCCCCCCCCCAGCAGCAGAGCTCTGCTGCCGGGGGGGTCAGAACCCCCCCCTAGCAGCAGGGATCGGATGGCTTTAGATATGTGGCACTGGCGGCGCGAGCCGCGAGTGTGCGGGGCCGCTCCTGGGGTGTGACTGTGTGTGTGAAGCTGAAGATACGAGAGGCTACACTCGCCTATACTATGTCTTTCAAGATTTTCATTTCCTGGTGACATGGCACGCCTCGCGTAACCTCGTCTAGCTCAAAACTCAAATGAAATGTCAAACTGTGGGGCCGGACACCGGACACTCGTGTGTGGGTGCCGTGCGCGGGGGACGCCCCCCCTCCGACTCCGCTCCCCCGCATTTGCCTCCCCCCGCTATACGGCTCTACTGCCAGCGCGCGCCGGGGCGCCGCCCAAGTAGCGCTGCCACGTCGAAAGCTGCGTTGCCTCCCATGAAGGCCACCGAGAGACTCGCGAGGCCGACGAGCAGCGCGACGGGAAATGAGCGCATCCCCTCGAGGGAAACCGACCGCCGACTGCGCGCTCGCAGCGTCATTAGCGGCGGAAGCAAGCCCCAGAGAAGCGCCACCGGGTACGCGCCGGCGAGGTCGATTGCGCCGAAAAAGGCGGCGGCGGAGGAGGCGCGCGCAGCAATCAGGACCGGGATGGCGCAGCAAATGCAGTACGCCGCCAGGGAGCGGAGGCCCGAAGTGGCGCGACCAGCCGGCCTGCGGAGAGAAGCCTTGACCGGTACGCGTCTAGGAGGTGTCTAGGAAGTGCATAGGAAGTGTCTAGGAAGTGCCGGCCTGCGGAGAGAGCCTTGATCGGCGGGAGTAGCGCCGGTCTGGTCCGGCTCCTGTAGGCAAGTTCAAAGAGGGTCCGGAAGCTCCAAGCAGCTGCGCGGGCTGCGACGTGGGCTTGGTGCGCCAGCGCGTCCTGGCACCACGTGGCGAGCGCACGGCCCGTGCCGAGGATGGTGGTTGCGATGGCGCACGCCGCCACCGCGCCCGAGGCCGAGGAGAGGGCGCCGCCACCTGCGAGGCGGCGGGGCGGCGGGGGTGAGAGCCTCTGGCGGCGAGCCGAGGAGGAGCGCAGCCGGCGGAGCGGTCCCGCGCCGAGGCGGAGGGCGTCGACAGGGTCGACCCTTAGCGCCGCCGCCGCGCCGCCCGCGCCGCCAAAGTCGCTCACCGCGATGCCGAGCGATGACCAGGCGAGCTGCATCGCGAGGAGGGCGACGGAGCCGCCCAGAAGGGCGCGCCGCACCCGCCTGCCGCACCGAGGCGAGAGGCAGCAGGGTCAGGGTTAGGGTAGGGTGTGGGTTAGGGTCAGGTTTAGGGTAGGGTGTGGGTGTGGTCAGGGTTAGGGTTAGGGTGAGGCGAGTGCAGCTCGTTCACGCGCCAGGGTAGGGGACATGGGCCAGCATACCACCCACGTCTCCATATCGCGGCAGTCAAAGTGGGCCCCGGCGCGCGTGCGCCAGCTTCTGGCTGATCTCGGCTGCACCTCGGCTACAGCTCGGCCACAGCTCGGATACCTCGTTCACATCTCGGCTACACCTCGGCCTGCGGTCGCGACCTAGGAGCTCGACGACGGTCGGCACGACCTCGCAATACACGTGCAGCTGGAGCAGCGACGGCGCGGCGGCGGCGGCGACGGACCAGTCGGCGCGAGAGAGGCGCGACCACGAGGCGAGCTGCCGGGTGGGGGCGGGAGCTGGTCAACGGGCGCTGCCGGCTGCGGGGCTGGGCAGCGACTAGCGGCGGCTCTTTTCACCACGCTTGCCGCCGGCTCCTCTCCCCCGGGCGAGGCAAGCGTGTGGGAGGTGGCGTGAGGGCCTGCGAGCCGCGGACGAAGAGGCTCGCGGCAGAGGCGACGAACCCGACCGTCAGCGCCTGAGGAGACGGATCCGAGGAGACGGATGTCCGACGGACGCGTCTCAGAGACGGGTCCGGGGCGAGGTACGGAGAGGACGGCGCGAGGGGAGGCGAGTGCCCCGTTGAGCCGTCCGAGCAGGCGCGGCGGCGCGCAGCGCGCGATCACCGCCAGCGGCGCCGTGAGGAGCGCGCAGCGCAGGGAGCGTGGCGCCGCTCCGAAGGCACCGCCACCGGCGAGCTCGCTGGCCTTTGCTATCTGGGCGACGAGGGTGGTCAGCATGAGCACGAGAAAGGTGGCGGAGACGGCGGCGCCGCCCGCGTCGCCAAAAGCGGCGCGGCCGAGGCTGTCGAAGGAGGGTGTGCCACCGGGCGAGGCTTCAGACGTCGCATCGATGACGAGGTCCGCGACGAGAAGTGACTCGAGCAGCAGGAAGAGCCAGCAGAGCGTGAGCACCGCAGTGGCAGGCAGGCAGCCCGCCGGCGCCGTCGCATGAGGCAGGGCCAGGAAACCACCGCCGAGCGCTGTGCCTAGAACGAGGGTCGCCGCCCCGATCTCGTCGAGCAGCGCAGCCGGTCTGCTGTCCGCGGGCTGAGCGAGGAGGAGCGGCTCCAAGCGGGACGCGACCAGTAGCGACGGGAGGACAGGCACAGCAGGGCGGAGCCTCATCCACCACCTGAGCGCGACATCGGGCCGCCAACGTCCAGGCACTCTTTTCTTTTTTGCACAACACTGGGCACGGGCCCAGTGTTGTGCGAGGGAGTTTTGTTGTAAGATTCTTTTTTGTCGCTCCTCCACCATCTTCGTGGCGACAGCGCGTCTTCTCGTACGAAGGGGCCTCTTTTATATATTGATGGCTATTGCTGCCCTGCTCTCGTCACTGACACTGGGCGGTCGTGATTTCTTGTTGGTTTTCAAAAAATCCTCTCTCTCTCTCTGACACTGTCTTCCCCTATATCTACTCTACTAAACCGAGCTCTCAGCGACAGTACTATGTCTCAAGCGACAGCATGAGAAACAAACAGAAACGTACTGTGGTGGGATCAGGCAACTGAGTCAAGTCGTCTCATACTCTGCGCTGCGAAGCTTCTCCGCCAACGCCGCGGCGAGTCCGGGCCGGCTCCGCTCCAGCAGAGGCCGGCTCTCCTCCGGGACGCCCGCCGGCAGCCCCTCCTTCTCCTCCTCCGAGTCGCTCATCGCCTCCACACATGCTGATGCGCCCACGGCGGTACCCGCGGGAGGGGCAGCGCCGTCGGGCGCCGATCGCACGAGCTCCACTACTTGCGGAACCCTCGGCGCAACCCTTGGCGCGACCGCGCCCGCCGCTCCACCCTCCGTGCGCTCCGTCGGTGGCTGGCTCGCGAATTCCGACGTCGGTGGACGTCCCCGCTTCCGCCCGCGGGGAAGAGGCGACGGCAAGTGCACGGCGGTCGCAGCCGCTGTGGCGGCAGTCTTCGCCGCCGCTTCGGCGGCGACTCCTGCACCGACTCCGCCGTCGTCGTCGAGAATGACGGCTGCGGCGCGGAGTGCCGCGTCCTTCTCCGCCCACGTCCGTTCACCCCAGAACCCGTCCCCCTCCACCTCCTTCTCCGAGCGACAGCCCTCCTCTCTGCTCGCGCCTGCGCTCGACGGCCCCGCGCCGCCCGCCGCCAGCGGCGACGCGCACGGCGACTCGAGTGATGGCGGCAGCATCGCGGCGCGCCGCCGTGCGACCTTGTCCGGCGTCTCCTCCTGCCGCCGGCCGGCGTGCTCCGCGGCGGCGCCCGCGTAGGAGACGCCGAAGCGTCCGGCAGCGTGGCCTGGGATGATGGCCTTCCGCTTCGCATCGGCTCGCGCCCGCTCGCGCTGCACCTGCTCATAGCTAGAGGTGTGAAGGAGAGGGGGGGGGAGGGGGGGAGGGAGGGGAAGAGGGAAAGAAAGGGGAGGAGAGGGGAGGAGAGGGGAGGAGAGGGAGGAGAGCGCTGCACCTGCCTCTCGGGCGGCGCGAGATCCTCGGGGCTCATCTCAAGCAGCCGCTTCGCAGTAAGGCTTCCTCTGCGCACGCGCGAGCGCAGCTGCCCGTTGCGGCGCTGGCTCAAGCTCACAGCCAGGGTGCGCACCTAAGGTAAGGTAGGGTTAGGTAAGGCAGACTTCGCCACAAACGCAAAGGTGGTGGGGAAAGGGCCAGGCAACCCTCTGAAAAAGAAACCCTCTGAAAAAGACAGGAGCTCTACGGCATTGAAAGTGCATGGCCCAGTGCGCGTGAGTGAGGTGTGTGTGTGTGTGTGGGGGGGGGGGGGGGGTCGCACCTTTCCGGCCCTGCCCACGTCGTCCAAGGCTTCGCTCGCAAAGATGGCCTCCGCAATCTCGGCGGCCACGCGAAAAGCGTCGGCCCTGTCTGCCGCCGCCCGCTCCTCCGCCGCCCTCTCCGCCGCCGCCTGCTCCGCCGCCGCCGCCCTCTCCGCCTTCTCCACCGCCTGCTTGGCCGCCTCCGCCGCCGCCGCCGCCGCCCTCCCCGCATCCCGCGCCGCGGCGGCGGCCTCCTGCTCCGCCGCCACGGCCTGCTCGATCGATCGCGACAGCTGCGCGGCCTCGTCGCCCCCAAGGGGAAAGGCGGCTTGGGACAGCACCGTGGCCGAAGCAGACCATTGGGTCAGCCGGCTGAACCGCCCCGGAGCTGCTTCCTCGCCTACGTGGCGGATACACCAACATCGGGAACATGGAGATGTGCGGAGTATTCAGAGCACCGAATACGAGGGGTACGAATACAGGTGAGTACAGCTGAGAATACGGCCGAATACAGTTGAATACGTGTCCTCTCGAGCGCTGGTTGGAATACAAGAATGCTTCTAGACTCCCTCGCCTCTTCCCAACGAGCCGCCGTCGAACGGCATCGCAGAGGCGGCGGCTGTGGCGGCAGAGGCGGCGGCTTGGGAGGCGGGGCCCTTCAGCGCCGCTCTCCACTCACGCACGATCTTCTTGGCGGCTGTCTGCACCCCGCTGTCGGCGTGGTTGAGCCTGAGCTGGTTCACCGCCACGCCGAGCCCGCCTAGGATCGCACCCTCCGAGCACGGCCGCCCTTGCAGCGACCGCAGCAAGTCCAAAAGAGCGGCACGCTTCGACTGCACCACCGCCTCTGCCGTCCCCGCCACCGCCGCCGCAGCCGCCTCCGCTGCCCGTGCCGCCGCTGCCCTCTCCGCCGCCTCCGCCGCCACCGCCGTCGCCGCCGCCACCACCGGCGTTGCAGGCTCGGCTCCCTCCTCCCGCTTGACCCGCGGCTCCTCCTCCGCCGCCTCCTCCCCTCTTGCTAGCAGCGCCGTCGCGAGCTTCTTGACTGCACCTTGCTTTTGCGTGTGCAAGTCCGCCCGTCGCTGCGCCGCCGCAGCCTCAGCCTCCCTCGCCTCGCCCTCGCCGCCGCCGCCGCCGCCGCCGCCGCCGCCGCCCCGCCGCCGCCCCGCCGCCGCCCCAGGGGAGCGATTCTCCGCAGCCTCCGCCGAGGTCCGCCTCGACATGTTGACTCCCGAGATGTTGAGGCGCTCTTGTTGCTTCCTCCAGCCGACGTCGCCGCCACCCCTGCCTCGGAGCGCGTGCCAGTGGACGTCCGGATTGTGAACCGTGGACGAGTCGTAGCGGATGAGGTGCAGCACCTGCGTCTCGCCGGCCTCTCTGCCGCTCCCCGGCGGCCTCTCCTCCGCGCAGACATCCTCGACGACGCCGGGATAGAACCCGGCCTTCACGTGCTTCGACCCGCGAAACTCGACCTCTATCCGCCGCCCGATGGGCGGCTTGGCGTCGCGCCTGGCGGCGGCCGTCGCCTCCTCGTCGCGCCGCAGCAGCTGCGTGGTGCCGTCCCGCACCTCGCTGTCGACAAACTGCCACTGGACGTCGTCCTTCGTGTAGAAGACGCGGTAGGCCCTCTCGCCGTCTGCGCCGGTCGCGCCGCCCAGCAGCTCTCTGCGCACTTCCTCCCTGCCGTCCTCGAGAAGGTATTGCAGCTCCGATCTCTTGAGGAGCGATGGAGAGGGAAGCGACGCACCGATGATCCAACCAACGTACGATTCGTTGTCGTTCCACCGCGTCCTGACACGCGCCCTGGTGCTCACTCGCGCGTCGGGCAGTGCCTGCTCGCAGCGAGGGCACAGCCAGCTTCCCTTTGGCGCGTCCTCGAGCGGTGGCGAGAGGCAGAGCAGGTGATATCCGCGATCGCACGAGTCGCATAGCAGCATCGCGTTGCCTTCGGGCTGCTCAGGCGACGAGCAAATCTCGCAGGCCGTGTCCTCCTCGTCCACCTCACTTTCCATGCGGAACCTGTGTGAAGGGCAGCAAGCGAGAGAGAGCGAGCACCGAAGCAAAGCCTCGTTCACAGCCTTGTTATACTGCCCGTTTGCTGTTCACAGCTAGGGACGGCCTCTGCGGCAAAGTCAAACCACCCCACCGCCCTCCCTCCCTCCCCCCCCCCACCGAAGCAAACATTGCTCCTCCTTTCGGGCCCGCTCAGAGGCTCGCCGCGCCCGTGCGGCGCGCCGAGGCGGCGCCGAGGCCGGCGGCCGGCGCCTTGCACCCGGCCCGCAGCCGGCACCGCCTCGCCCCACAACTGACCGCCCTGCGGCGCCTGCGCAGGCGTTCCTTCGACCTCGCTCAAAGCGACGGCCGGGTGTGGGCTGCTCCCTTGCCCCGTCACCCGCCGCGCCCTCGCCCGGCCGCCTCACCGCGCACGGAGCGCTCGGCTGCTCGCCGCCGCCGCCGCGCGTCCCGCGCCGCCACGCTTGCCCACCCTTGCCTGACGCGCGCTCTGCACCAGAGCGCGCGTCTCTGGCACAAGACGGAGCAGCGACCGCGCCAGCGGTCGCTGCTCCGCCCCTCCGTCGCGCGCGCCGCGCGCGCTGCCGCCGCCGCCGCCGCCGCCGCCGCTCCCTCCTCGCCGTCTTCCCCACCCCTACACCCTCTGTTGCACGCACACCCCAGACGTGCCAGCACTGCGCCACGATCGTCATCAGCGCCTCGCGCGACAGGGTGTCGTCGGCGTGGCCGCGATACGTATCGAAAAACCTTTGCAAGTCGCCCATCACCGGATCCCAGCGCTTGAGGCCGCGCTCACGCGCGCGCGCTGCGCGCCCCCGCCCCCGCCCCCGCCCCCGCCCCCACCCCCGCCCCCGCCCCCGCTCCCAAGCGCCCCTTCCCCGGTGGGTTTGCGTAGAAAGTGGACACATTGGGCCCTCCCCCCCTTCTCGCCAACCCACGCCCCCGCCCCCGCTCCCAAGCGCCCCTTCCCCGGTGGGTTTGCGTAGAAAGTGGACACATTGGGCCCTCCCCCCCTTCTCGCCAACCCACTAAGTTCCAGCAGAGTTCTCTGCGCCTCGAAGTACTCGAGTGCAGAAAACGGCGGACCAGCTGCTTCCCCCATATGGCGCTTGCGCCGCGCAGCGTGGGCGCGGCATCCGGGACGGATGCGGGCCGCTGTCTCGCGGGATCGCTGGGCGCCGCTCGGCTCCCCACGCGCCGCCGAGCTGCGATGGCGCAACCGCAACGGCTGCCCCTCCTCGGCTCCCGCCCCGGGGCTGCCAAAATAGGTGCCCCGAGCCACCGTTTGCAACATCCGCGCGGATCGGCGCGGCGCTGCCGACGCCCCCCCGACCGGCAAACTCCATTGGAAGGGCGGTGGTGAAAGCAGCACCTCTGAAATGTCGTCGTCGCGCAGTTCCCTAGTGTCCGCTCGGCGCCCGGTGGCGGCTGGCGTCAGAAAATCCTCAATCACGCTTTTCGGCGCTGAGGTGCTCTGGCAGGATTCCAGGCCCCTCCCCTCAGGCCAGTGGCTCTAGACTTTGCGTCCAAAGCAGGCGCGATGCCTCGTCGTTCTCATCGTTTGCGGCCACCACTCCTGCCTCAAACGGGCCAAACGACTGTCTCGCCATCACCCATCTCGCCTCTCGCGGTCGCGTCACGCCTTCCCTCGTGCCGCGAGTAGGCGCGTGAGTGATGGCCCTGCCACCAGGTACACGGCTACACCTCGGGACGCGCCGTGATGAGACGGATAGAGCCGCCCCGCGGGAGCAAAAGCCGCCTCGCGCGCCTCAACCCGCCGGGCCCCTCGGCGGCCAGTGTGGGGTGGATACGGCGGTGATAAACCCCCCTGACAGCAGCGCCTCACGGCGTGGGCTGCGAGGTCACTCGGGGTGACCCAGGGGCTGGCGGGGGAGCAACTCCCGCCGGAGCAGCGGGTGAGATTCCCGCTACTCGCTCGAGTTTGAGGTGCGCCGCGCCTCGCGGCTCCCAAACGAGCACGGGCTTCGTCTGGGCCGCCGAGGCCACCACCTTGGCCGCGGCGGCGGGCGAGATGGCGAGGTGTGCCGAGGCAAGCGTCAAACGTGACGCCTTGCGCCCCTGAGGAGGGACGAGTGCGTGGGGTGCCACGGGCGGGGGGGGGGAGCGGTGAGAGGAGAGCGGTGGGCACCCCCACGAGGGGCTGCGCGGACGCTGCCTACCCCCCCGACCTCAGGCTGCCGCCGCCGCAGCAATCGAGAAATGCCGGCCCAAGCGGCTAGAACTCTGTCGGCGCGGCGAGCAGCACCTACTGATGTTTAAAGGGCGCTTGGTAGAGGTAGAAGGATTCAGTTACGCAGCGATGGGCTATGAGGTGCGTGCTGGGCACCACGAGCCCGGCTACAATAACTCGCGTGCGAGGACCCGTGAGAAAGAGGGGCCACTGGTGCGAGTGTGGCGGCTCGCGCGCGGCGCAGCGAGGCACGCCGAGGCACGACCGATGTCAGAGTGGATGGTGGAGCATTGCACAGCGCGGCCGACGAGGCGTGTGAGGGACCGGAGGCGGGGCGATGGCGCGCACGCGAGACGGCGAGCGCCCCTGGAAGAGACTCCAAAAAAGGCAAAAATCTCAACTCTTGTGAGCACCAAGGTATCCTCCGATATGAGCTCCGTTTTAGCGGCGAGTGCTGGTACCGCTTAGCAACCCAGCAAGCTACAATATGGGCATTTACAAAGCTAAACAACTAGATAATGGCCAGGTAAAGGAAAAAATCGACTATCAGCAGCGACTGGCAGACTACCACTCAACTCTACCGACAAAAATACAGCTAGAGTGCGCAAAAGCAATGCTAAACAGGCAGAACCCAGCAAGCTACAATATGGGATCGATTTTCCATGTCAGCGGTCGAGATGAAGGGGGGGGGGGGGAACGGGAGTGTTCGCAGGGTTTTGCGAGTGTTCGCGAACACTGTTCGCGAACAGTGATCACAACTTGCGAACAGTGTTCGCGAATAGTGTTCGCAACATGCGAACAGTGTTCACGAATAGTGTTCGCAACTTGCGAACAGTGTTCGCGAACAGTGTAGTGTTCGCGAACAGTGTTCGCGAACAGTGATCACAAACTTGCGAACAGTGTTCGCGAACAGTGATCACAACTTGCGAACAGTGTTCGCGAATAGTGTTCGCAACATGCGAACAGTGTTCGCCAACAGTGTTCGGCGCGAACACGCCCGTTCCCCCCCCCGGCCTGACTTCGAAGCACGACATGTACCGAAACACAACCTAGCGCGATGCATAGTGGCGTGCCAGGTCCCAGCAAGCTACAATAGCTAAAGAATGAGCTAGGGTTAGGGATGCAGCTGGCGAGCTACCCAGCTTAGGCTATCAGCAGCGACTGGCAGACAGCACGTAAACGCCTCCGCCGACCAAAATAAAGCGAGGGTGTGCAAAATCAAGACTGCATGCGCCCAGGCGGATCTGGCTAGCCAGGATGGGCCCCTCGCAAGCGACCCGCGAGACACCGCTCGCGATAATAAATAAATCGGCTAGCAGCAGCGACTGACAGACAGCACGAAAAAGCCTCTGTCGACCAAAATACGGCTAGGGTGCGCAAAATCAAGACTGCATGCGCCCAGGCGGATCTGGCTAGCCAGGATGGGCCCCTCGCAAGCAACCCGCGAGACACCGCTCGCGATTTTGTGCGTTTCAGGAAGGTTTGGAAAAATTAAATGCCTAGGGTTAGGGTTAGGGTTAGGGTTAGGGTTAGGG